AAAAAACCGTCCCATCTCCATTTGGATGAAAGAAAAAAAAAAAGTTTCCACTGTAAAACTACTACTTCGTCCAAAGAAAGAAAAAGAAAGAAAAGAAAACTTGGATTTCATCGATCCACGAAATAATGAGCCCACTTTAATCAACCTTTCACCTCGGAGTTCAATCACGTGGAAAGGTCGCGGTTGCTTGTCCCCCCAATCGGCGTGTATATCGGGTGGGCCGATTGCACGCGAGGTATCGATCGTTGGAAAGCGCGATATCGCGGAGGCCGCGACGCCTCTATCGCGCTCTGGTACGGCACTCCAACGAGCCGTGCCCGCTCGCCCTCGCCATCCTTCCATCCATCCTCACGTGTGCCGAGGGAACGAATGGTCCCTCGCGTGTCGGAAGGTCTTGGAAAACCGGGTGGCGATGGGTTGGCCACTAGGTCAGCGTTTCATCCCCCCAACCAATGTATGTATATATATATATATATATATATTTCAACTTCTCACCCTCGCTCGAGGCGTTTCGTTTTAGTTTTAGTCGGGGGAGGAAACGATTGAAGAGAGACCGGTGGCCGACTCGCGCGGGAGTAATGGATCGACGTGGTTTCCGGCTAGGAACTGGGTTACCGGAGAAGTGATTGGGTATACCTTGTTTGTGGCCGATCGCCCGTATTATCCAAACGCGATAAATTATGGAAATATTTTTCCGTAATTAATGGTGGAATTTTATCGGTTTATGATAATCGAATGATGGGTATTTAGGAATACTTTTTTTTTTTAGTTTCGAGAGAAGGATTCTTTTTTGTGGAATAATGGGAAAAAATGGAAGAGAATATAATTTTAAATTATGGAAATATTTTTCCGTAATTAATGGTGGATTTTTATCGGTTTATGATAATCGAATGATGGATATTTGAGAATATTTTTTTTTTTCGAGAGAAGGATTCTTTTTTGTGGAATAATGGGAAAAAGTGGAAAAAAATATAATTTATGGAAATATTTTTCTGTAATTAATGATGGAATCGATTTATGATAATTGAATGACGAGTATTTGGGAATATATTTTTTTAGTTTCGAGAGAAGGATTCTTTTTTATGGAATAATGGGAAAAAGAGAGAATATAAGGAAGAGAATATAATTTTAAATTATGGAAATATTTTTCTGTAATTAATGGTGGAATTTTATCGGTTTATGATAATCGAATGATGGATATTTGAGAATATTTTTTTTTTTCGAGAGAAGGATTCTTTTTTGTGGAATAATGGGAAAAAGTGGAAAAGAATATAATTTATGGAAATATTTTTCTGTAATTAATGATGGAATCGATTTATGATAATTGAATGACGAGTATTTGGGAATATATTTTTTTAGTTTCGAGAGAAGGATTCTTTTTTATGGAATAATGGGAAAAAGAGAGAATATAAGGAAGAGAATATAATTTTAAATTATGAAAATATTTTTCCATAATTAATGATGGAATCGGTTTAATCGAATAACGAGTATTTGGGAATATATTTTTTTAGTTTCGAGAGAAGGATTCTTTTTTATGGAATAATGGGAAAAAGAGAGAATATAAAGAAGAGAATATAATTTTAAATTATGGAAATATTTTTCCATAATTAATGATGGAATCGGTTTAATCGAATAATGAGTATTTGGGAATATATTTTTTTAGTTTCGAGAGAAGGATTCTTTTTTGTGGAATAATGGGAAAAAGTGGAAGAAAATATAATTTTAGATTGGCTAGTTCTTTTGTTAATTGTTAGGGAAAATTGGAAAAGGAAGAGTTTTATTTTTTTTGGAATGAAATCAATGGAAGTATTTTATTGGGATTGGGATGTATCTCGTGTTTGAATTTCTTCGAGGATAATACTTAAAGGTTTCTTAATGATTGCACAAGGTATAGAAATATATAAGGAATATTTAGTAACATGATGTTGGTCTCGTGCATCGTGTGATATACGATGCTCATTCCTGCCACGTTCGATGCATCACACGTGATGCAAGATATTACACAATCTTGTTACAGATAACTTGTAATATAGTCTTGTTTCTTGCTATTATTAAAGACTCTTGTGTTATTGAAAAATGTTTTTTGTAAGCGAAACCGAGTCTATAAATAGGCTTGTTATTTTGAAATTTTATGCTGTTTTCAGTTTACCTTGTAAACTATCTTCTTTCTTCCAGTTTTTCAATTATCATCCATCATTTTATATATATATACAGTTAATTCTTTGTTATTTTGAGACTCGATTAAGAGACTTTAAAAATAATATTATTATTTTTAAAAGATTTTTCACTCGGAAATTTATGAAGAGATTTATTAATCGTGTGATGCAAGATTGTACACTCGGAGAATGAAAGATTAAAAAACTCGTTTTTCCGATTATTGCATAACCTTCAGAATCAAAGAAAGGATTCAATGACGATAATTTTTCAAGGAATGGAAAAACTTTGGTTTCGTTTAATGGAAATTTTTAAAAGATCCATTCGACGATCCAATTAATCTATTTTTATCGATCCAATTGAGTTAATGTGTTGTTAAAGTTAAGAAAACTTGACGAGTTACAAGGCATAAGGAAATATCTTGATCAATTTTAAATTTGTTCCCGCGTAGGAGTCGGAAAATGTCATGTTTTTATTACTTCTGTAGTCTTCGTACGTATAAAAAAGAATTTATATAACCAATAATGGAGTACTCACGACGAAGAAATCGCGTGAACCACGACGCAAGGTCGCGATGCAATGCGATCAAATATTTGTGTGTTTCGTGATGCGAAGGTATGTCCGAGGAAAAGACACTTGTGAGATATATCATTCTTTTGAATTCGATTTTCAATTTTGTCAGAAAAATGATTTTTAAAATGCATCTATTTGATATTTAAAGAAAATTTTTTCCACTCTAATTTTTTTATTTATAATTTAATCTCAGATGAAAATAATTTAATTAATAAAAATAATAAGTAGTAAATATTTACGATAATATATAGGGTGTAACGTTTGAATTGATTTAAATAATATATATCTTATTTCGAATATCACTAGATAGATCTATGATCCATAAAAAACGGTGTATAACTGTAAAATAACTCGTATCATGCAGAAAAAGAATTCTGTTTCGAAATTCATGGTTTTAAATCACAAGGTAATAAAAAGTTTCTTATATATATATCTTCGTTCTATCGTTTCTACTTTTTCTACTCATCGTCTTGTACACATCGGCTGTTTGAATAATTTGTATCATTTTACATTAATAAAAGATTAAATATATATATATATATATTTTTTCATATTTCGTATCTTAATAAATTCATTCGTATTTTTGTTTCAGTAAAAAATAAATTATGCAACGATAAATAACGAAAGGTGCTTAGTTAATTCTTTAACGGTACACGACAGTTCATTGCTCTTCTTCCGGTGCGCAGCAAGAACCCTCCAAGGGTCTAAGATCAAGAGAAGATTATTAGGTCACGAGTCATGGCGTGAGAGTAATTTGCAATTAACGTGCTGTTGGACGAACAATATTGAATAGAAGTTGTTGCGAGCCTGTTCTGATTATTCTGATTTCTCGCAACAAAGATTGATCACGATATTTCTTTTTTAAATTTATCATAGTTCTTTTTATCATTAATTCGAAATTAATTCTTCGTCCTTTTTTTTCTTTCTCTCTCTTTGTTTTTTTTTTTTTTGGATAATTTACGAATTATTGTTTAGGGGAAAGTAAATTTTTAGGATTTTTATAACTTTATAATGTTTCTATGTATTTTGAGAAATGAGACGAATCTTATTTGTTTGATATTATTTGGAAAACGATGTCCATCCCTCAATGTGATAATAATTTGAAAATGATTTTTGACAAATGTTATATCAAAATTTCATTCTATAACTCGTTTTTACTTGAAATAGTAGGTAGTAGTATTTGTAGATTTCTGGCAACTGATCATTGTTCATTTTGGCATCAAAAATTTTCCAAGAATTAATTTGTTACAACGTAAATACTAAATGACAGTGGCATCTTTGATAAAATTGAAACGCGTATTTTTCTATTTCATCGAATTATCTTTTCACTCGATCATTTTAAAAAAATAACATCGTATATACAAAAATATCTCAACAGAAAATTTTTCCACCGAATCAAAAAGCATTCTTTTTATATTTATAGAAAGAAGAAGAATAACAACCAGCAATATTTTTTCATTGACAATAAAAAAAAAGTGTGCAAACGTGAAAAATATTCAAAAATGACTGTCAATTTAAAAAAAAAAAAAATGTGCAAGTTCAACAATCAAAGTTCAGTGAGGTTAACAGTTCGAACCAGTTCGAACCAGTTCGAAACGATTCGTACCGATATATCGCGACATCCGTGTCGAATTTCTCCTCTCCAAAGAGGGAAATTTTTATTTTTTCCCTCTTAACAGGGCAAACAACAAGCTTTTTTTTTTGTTTTTTGCAAACGACGAAACAAGGAAACAAGTCAACACTTGTGTATTCACCACCACTCGAGTTCTACTCGACTAACTTTACCTCCAAAAGATGGAGAAAAAAAAAAAAATTTGCCACCTCTCGAAATAATTACAAATTCATGATATATCCATTTATTTTAATTCATGAAATTTTCTGCATTCAATTTGATTCAAATTAATCGAATTATTATACTTTGAGAGAAAGAAAAGTAATCGATTTTGAAAGTAATTACGAATCCATCGATTTTTATTACTTCAAAAGAAAACTTTGTGAAGGAATACGAATATCGATAATTATATTAATCATGTTGGATAACTGTTCGATAATTTTACGATTGACAAATAAATGTTGGATAAATATATATATATATAAATATATATATATAATAATAAATATATATAAATATATATAAATATAAGAGAAAATGATGCATCGATACAGAAAATGAAATGGAAATATATACATTGAGTGCGTAACGTGTTACAATAAATTGTGCATTCGCGTATCAGTATTCATTGGAATAGAAACAGGAAAAAAAAAAAAAAAAAAAGAAAAAAGTGTACGAGGAAATCATGAATGAAATGAAATAACAGTATCATTCATAAATATTTACTCACGTGCTACTTTTTTTATTTCATTGAAACACGTGAAAGAATTGAAGAAACGATCCACTTTTCATTGTAATAATTATTGAAACATTTCAATTATTTTATAAAAAACAATTATATATATAAAATCGCAAGAATATTGATACTCTTACAAAAATTGGATTTTTTTTTTTTTTTACTTAACAAAAATTCTTTCTTCTACATTTAAAAAATAGAGAAGCATCGAATTCACAGATTCATTCAAAATCCATTATATCCAAAGTATCCAGAAGTGTATAATAAAAAGGGGGATCGCGAATTTATAACGATGATTCCGTCGATCCATGCTCGAAAGTGTTTTCTAAAATGAGAGAACGTGCTAACAGCTTTATTCGCTTCGATATTTTGACACAGATGCAAACACACCGCGATCGGTGATGTATTTGCACTCGGTGTGTGTTTTAACAATTCGATGAAAGAGAGAAATGGGGAGAGCAGAACGGGAAACGCTTTATCCGAGTTTTCGCTCGAGTTCTCGCATCTTGGAAATTTTTTTATCCTCGAATATATATCTATTCTTCTCGTATCTTTTTTAAACCATCCCTTTTATTTCATTTTTTCTAATTCTTACATTTCTTTTTCTTTTGTTATTATTTCAGATTTTTTTATTAATGATGAATTAAAGGACACCATGATTTGATCTCGATGTGTGTTATCAAGGATGAGATCTTGAAAATTCGTAATTGATCTTAATTGTATTTTGTATCGTAAAATAATATTTGATCTGATCGATCATCAAGTAAGAAGATTTAGATAATAACAAATAATTTATTAATTATTGGACAATCTTCAAAATTCGTATTGGAGATAATTAGATAATTTTAAATCGTTTGTCGAGGAATTATTTATTGGAGTAAATGGTTTGGAAATTGTTAAAAAATAAGGAATGATGAGTCAGAGGAATTTGTTAGTACATAAATAATACGTAAATAACTCCATAATTCCATAATGGTATTTGAGGATAGAAGAGAACGAGAGGTGTACAACCTCAAGATATAATGCGATCAACGATGTATAATTGGATTTGCGACTAACGATGGTTCAGTAAGGAAGATTTGATCAGAGGACGAGGTTTAATCCTCAGCTCGTTTCTCGCATACTGTTAACAATTATCTTGTTAACAGTTGTTAAATCAATATCTAGGAAAATGTGATTTCATTAAATTATAAATATTCAAATTGATCCATAATTTTGATAGAATGCAAATAGATTTTGCGAACAATAATGAGGATTTCAATGGAGCCAAAAACAAAGCAATCAAAATATAAAACGAAATGTATAACTGTAAAAAATGCGAAACAATATTTATATTTTTGAATCCGCAAGTATTCAATAAATCAAAAATGATTATAAAATCTTAATAATAATTAGTGTAAAAATACTCCATCGTAAGTGACAAGACTTGGAATTATTCAAAATAATTACATATCCCATGTACCAAATCAATAATGGAAAGAAATTTTCGAAATGAATACAGTCCTAAAATGCAACGCAATTTCGGAACAAGACATTCTGAAAGAAACGAGATATATAGATACACGTGAAAAACTCTCTTTCATCTTTCATATTTCTAAGAAAATTTCGTGGAATACGAAATGGAATCGCGTCGAATTTTCATCAAACTCTGAATAAAAGAAGGTTCAAGAAATTCGGAACTCGATGAAACTATTTCTGAGTCGCACGTGCCATCGTGTTATACCGTGCGGATCATTACGACGTATCCCTGACTTTGAATTCGTTATCCGACGGGTATACAACGCTTTAATTTTTCATCGGTAACGAAATCAAGGCCGTGTGTTGGCCGGTCGATAATCTGGAAAAACGTGGCGAAAATGGTGTTCCCTTCGCGTCTTCTTCGCGTTGTGCAATAAGAGGGTCGAAACGAAGGATCGACTTTCGAAAGGCGGTGGTGCCCCCTACCTCGAGGAATTTGTTTTTCAACTCGTTGGCAAAACGATCGATCGATTTTCAGGGTATTTTTAATTTAGAGAAACGTGGTATGGCGTGTGAGGGATTATGGCAGGTAATAATGGCAGTGATTAGGCTTATTTGATTTTATCGTGTGATATAATTTTTTTCCATATTTTTCCAAGAGACAGAGTAAGAGAGAAAGATATATATATTCTTATCTTTCTGATGATTGATTTTTTAGTTTAACGTTGTTGGTTTGGATAGAAATGAAAGAATAGTGAGATTGATCGATTTAAAATTATCGATGATTAAACAAAGTATTAGAAGCATAGAAATAATAGAATTAATTTCACAATATAATACTTGAAAACTTATAATCCAAATCTCAACTTCATTATTTAGTTTTTTTTTCTTATCAGTTTCTTAAAATCTCTAATCTCATGAACGTTACTTGCTACTTTTTAACAATCAAAATTCACGAACGTTCACGGGGAAATCACAAAGCAAAACGTTTGAAATTTGCATATGCTTAGCATGTTAAACTGATTCGTCAAAGTCAATCACTTTGAAATTGATTTTTTTTTCAAAATCCCTGATTCTTCACGAATGAATAAAATTAAATTTATTTATTGTTCCGCTGCTACTATACTTACTTAAAGTTTGAGTTTACATTAGATAGACAGAGCTCCAACTACGCTTAATACGTTAATATAATCCCAATAACGATATTTAATCCAATTTTTATGCTTGTTTTAATCGAATACGAATTTCGACAATTTGCATTGTGCCAAAAATGGCGAACGAAATTTCATCCATCTTCTCGAATGCACACACGCTATATCTCTCTCTAAATAGATCACGATAGATAAAAGATGTAACGTGTCTATATTAAGCCAAAACAACGTTTCACTGTCGCGGGAATCCTAAGCTGAGAAACTTTAAAGAGGGAGGAAGAAAGAGAATCGGCGTTAAATTAATCAATTCCCGCCACGACGAAACGAAGCGTGGTGCACCGTTTGTTTACGTAACAACCCTAATTGCGCAAGTTTAATTCGAAACTTTCATCGGTCGGTCCTCGTCCCTCTTGCGACAGAAACGATTTCGTGTGCAACGATGACGCCGTCGCGAATCGAGAACCGAATTACTCGACACTTAGCGTGGCTATTTGCGAAACTGAAGTCAGTTTATGAATGGCGAGGTTGAGGTTTCTTCGAGTGATTGAAGGGAACTCGAGGCAAGTCTGCGAGTATCGTGATAGTTGATCGTGTGTCGTCGACTTTTTCTCGCGAACAAATATATTTGATTTTCCTTTTTTCCTTTTTTTTTAGGTGAATATATAAGCAAGATTTGATCTGTATCAAAATTATAGTTTGTAAGAAAAGATGTGATAAATTTGTGTACGAAACGTTCAATAACTTGTTAAATTAATTGAAAGGTTTCCTTGATAACGATCGAAACGTTAAGATCGAGATATTAAAAAAAAAAAAAGCCTAAGACATGAGATATCATGATAAAATCGTTCCTTAAATATATCTATTATTGCAAATATCAGAAATTATAAACTCGTCGACACGTTACATGATGAACAACTTGGTTGAAAAGCAATGATGGATGACGATACAATCACGCCTCACCTTTGCCCTCGCCACCTTAAATCCTTACGTCAAATTTGTTCGTCGTGAAGTGGACGGTGTCCAGGATGCAAAGAATAGCGAATACAGTTATCCCGCTTCTGTCTTCGTAACGAAGATGACAACGTTACTCGCGCTGTTGAACGGCCCTGACCTTACCAGAAGCAGGTTCGTTGAACCGTTGAATAGAGAGATGTCAATTGATCGTACGATTACACGAAACGGTGTCGACGTTACACGCGCAGGTTCTACGCCTTTCTTCGACTCCTTGAAGAAACCTTGAAGTCGAATCGATACCGTTGTTCTCTAGAGTCGATGATAAACGAAGTTGTGAAGGGGATCGATATCCTCCAGGCGTGGAAGAATTGTGAGAGATCGGGCAAAACGCAGGATTTAACCCTTTGTTCTCCAATGGTGACTCTCAGGCACCACTGAGATTGTTGCAACAATATTTATTTATGTTTGATTCTTTTAGAATATCGCTTCATAAATAGATTCCTAAGCCTTTTACGTGTAATCTTACGAGCAATTATCTTATGGTAATCTTATGGGGCCATCGAATGCGCGGGTCTGGAGTTGCTGGTTCGACCGAGGGAAACAGGGCTGGAGTGCAAAGGGTTAATTTGAAGGAGGGCAGAGTCTAAATGGGGATGGTGGTTTTTGTTGCAGGCAACGGAAGCACTCGGCCAAAAATGTCGACGGTGGGGCCGTGATTCGACGATTTTGGTAGGAAGGAAGCCGAGGGACGCGAAGAAGTGGAGGAGAAGGAAGAAATGGCGTCCACAAGCGGGCACAAGAGGAACGGCTCGAGTTCGAGCATGTTCACCCATAAGCGAACCGAGTCAGGCGGCGGTTTTATCGGCCACAAACGTGCCGAGAGCATATCCAGTGCCTTTGGCCACAAACGATCCGAGAGTGGCCACAAGAGGAACGAGAGCAGCGGAGGTGGTTTCGGCCACAAAAGGTGATGTTCCTCGCCTTTTCTCCTAGATGAAGAGAATTTCCTATTCATTGATTCCTCTTTCTCTCTCTTAATATTTTTTATTCATTCTTTCATGCAAGTATCACAAAATGTCGTACTTTTCGAACCCTCCTCTTTCTCCTAGGGAAGAATCTCTGTTTTCATTTCTTTTTCTCTAATATTTTTCCTTTCTTTTTTTTAGAGAATATGTGCAATGTAGTTGGCTCAAGCCACATGAGATTAAACTGTTTCTATTATTTTTTAGGTTTTGTCTGATATTTCTTTTTGAGGAATCAATGTATAAGGTTTTAAAGGATCTTTTAAACTATCCTTTACTCTCCTTTGTTCAAACCTGAGACCCTTTATTCTTTTTCTTTTCCATTCTCTCTCTTTTGTAATATCTTTCCTTTTCTCAAACGAGTCTGTGCTTCTTACAATGGATCTTACTGTTTGTATCAGAGAATATGGTAGGAATTTTTGTTCTCTGCAAATTTTTGTTTTCAATTTGAAAATCTTAATAAGAATTTTATCGGCACGCACGTATTTCGTTAAAAGTCTATGAAAATATTATTATCCAATTTGAATTCTTTGAACAATTATTGTTTAAACTTATTTCTTTAGAATGGTTCTTTAAAAGGTAGAAGTTTTTGAGTTTGTTGGATTGTTTTAAACGATAAAGGTTTCCATCGATATTTAAATTTCTCCAGCGCCTAGAAAAGGTTATTGTTTCTTTATTATCACTTTTATTACTTTGCTTATCGGTTTATCATCAGTTTCGTTACTTTTCCCATCGAAACTTAAACACCCGCCAATCTGTAAAGTTTTCAAACTCAATTTTCTCGAAAAACGTAGCTCGGAGTGTTAAAATATCGCGCTGAATATTTCTCTTTTCTTTCTTCAACGTTCATTTCATTATCATAGTAAAAATCGTGATAATAGAATCGAGATGACAAACAAATAGCATCATTGCAGAATAATTAAGATTTAAAGTTTTCGTTATATTTTCATCCTCTTGAGAATCGTTAAAGAAAACATCATTTTATCAATCCCTCGATTATTAAAATTGGAAAAAGAATTGCACTAAAAATAAAAAAATAGAAAAAGATAATAAGAATAGCATAACCATGTGCGTATCTTGAAGCTCTTCTGTGATCAGTTAATATTTAAATCGGGAGAATGCCGTAGATATGCAATTTTCGCGGAGATCTCCTCTCTGGTGAGGGCGAAAAAATTCAAATAACAGAAGGGAAGATTCTTATTACGTTAGAGGGTAATACGATGCTTGGAGGGAGGGAGCCTACGTGTAATGTTTAGATAAGTACAGGTTGACGGTGTTCAGGGGCTTCCAGAATTCTGTTTGTCTTCTCTATTCTTGTTGGATAAAGAGAAATTGCGTGCACAACCGACTTCCTGTCTCTTTCGCGGAAAATTGATAAATAATTAAGACTAATAATGGATTATTAATATATTATAAAAATTTGCAACGGGAAGGATAGTTATAATATTTTTTAATCAGAAGTTTTTCAAATTAGATGTCTCTAATTATTCTTGTCTCAAATGTCTCTAGAGTAAATGATCAATCAATTTATTCCTCTCGAAAATTAAAGTTTAATCTCATGATAAATGGATAGATTTATTTTCCTTCGTTTTTACAATTTGAGGATTTTAATAAATCCTGTATACACAATGATGATGATTTCAGGATTCAACGATCGATCGAGTCATCGATAATTAAATAAGAATCGATATTTATTTTGGACCACGACACGTTAAAATCCAAAAATCTTCGCTATCATTTTCATCAATTTATCCAACGAACCAAATCAATCAATAAATGTTTCTCAATAAAACGACAATTAAGTTGGAATTTCGATTGAAATTCTCGGGATGCAACCTTATTTTGAAATTATGGTAACCTTCGGTTACGTTTCAGGTCCGAATCTGGTAGCAATTATCATGCTGGGCATCGAAGGAACGAAAGCATGTATGCTATGACTGGTCTGTACGCTGAGAGCGCGACCACGGGAACCGATGAGACCACAGACCCACTGCAAGCAACCGGTAGCAGACTGACTCATGACACCGTCATCAGGTGTCACAGTAGAAATCCCAGTTCTGGCCTCGTGGACCATAGGTGAGTATTGCGGATTCACGCAAAACGAGACGATTTTTTCTTTTTTCTTTAAATCTTACCTAGGAATGCGTACAGGGTGTTGATATGATATAATATTCGTGGGATAACTTTTCAAGATATAAGCGTGTAAATTATAAATAGATTAAGAATTTCAAATATTCATTTAATATACAGAAAATACGTCATATTATGTAAAACATATGTTAAATTAGATTCCTATACTTTATATCACAATAGATCAGTATATTCGTGCAAAGTTGTAAATAAAAATTCGATTTTTCGTTAAAAAAAAACATGAGAAGAAACTACAAATTTTGCCATCGAAACCTATTCAGGAAATAGAGAAAATCATGCCATTGAAGCTCCTTTTTGTTTTATCCCGATATCTCAATTGGTTGCCGAGATATAAGGATTCAAAGTTTCTATAATATTTGAGACGGTACAGAGATTATGAATGGTGGCGCTATCTAGTGACCTACATTTTTTCTTGGAAATACGTACGTTTTTCCAGGAATCGCATCTTTCGCTTGGCTGGAATTTGGGATAGATCAGTGAGAGGAGTGCGAGAAAGAGAGATCCGAGTAAACGACAAGAATGGAGAGAATAAATGGTTAAAAATTAGGCTTTTCTTTACACGACGATATCTCGAGAACCGGAAGTCGTATCGAGATAAACAAAAGAGGGTTTTAAAGAGAAAGATCCCACGCTTCTAATGATGTTTCGTTCATTGGCCGGAAGTAATTATCTTCGGAGTTATAGCGATTCAAATTTTCCCTGATTTCAATCGAGTTTAATCGAGTTTAAGGTAAATGATTAAAAATTACCTTTCCTTTACACGACGATATCTTTGGAACCGGAAGTCGTATCGGAATAAATAAAAAAGCGTTTTAAAGGGTAAAGTCTCGCGCTTCTAATGATCTTTCATCCATTGATCAGGAATCATTATTATCGGAGTTATAGCGGTTTAAATTTTTCTTAATTTTAATAAAAATTTCATAATCGTAAAAATTTTTAAATTACGCGATAAATATGTTTATTCGTGGAAAATCATTGCTCACGGTTTTACTAATAAATATATGAACGTGTAAAAATTATACAAATTTTTAATGCTAAGAAAATACATAAATTATAAACGGAAAACGAACGATTGCAGCTTAGTTGTTTTGAAATGAAAAAAATGACGTACTTGACGGATTTAAATTCGAATAATACTATTTCGTTTGAATAAAATAATATGTAAGAATGATTCACGAGAAGATTGCACAATTTACGTATCATTATTTTTATCATTCAATATTACATGAATTATTGATACAAACAATCGAAACCCACATTTATTATTTTTCCATTATTTCAAGAAACTTTATACAGATTGTCTCTCTTATGCAGGTAGAGCGCATATATCCTACTCGTTTCACAAAATATTTTCACATTGCAAATGATGCGTTAGCATCAGAATTATCATCGTTATATAAGTAATAATCGTGCGTAACACTGAATAGGACAAATTATCGCGAAAAAGAGAAAGCGAGGCATTAAGAAGTAAGCCATGAAAATGGTTATGGGTGTTTCTTCCTGTTATGAAATCGGAAATTTTTTGCATCCGCGAATTTACATACAGAAATAGCTTCTAAACGACCGTGGTAAAAATTGTAAGGTGTGACCCTCGAAATCGTGAAAAGTGAAAGCATCGGGTTGACCGTGGCACCATTATTCGCAAAATAGATATTTTTATAACTGTTACATTTATCGTATCACATCCTCTTACGATTCCTTTCTCTCTAGATGTCCCAAGTTGTCCCAATAATTCTTTAGTATGCAGATCTATTTTTCTAGAATTTTTATTAATTTTTTTATCCTACTTATATACTTCAATGATTGTTTTATAATATTTTTGGGATGACAATCTAATATTTGTGAAAGTGCAATGGCATGGGGATATAAAAATTTGTTGGAAGAATGATGTAATTAATTTTTAAATGTTTAAGAATTAGTAAGAGTAAAGTCTTGATCTATCTTTTAATACATTCTTTTAATACTTGTATATAAAATATTATAAATGAAAATTCCGGATATAGATAAAATTCTGTATATCAAAATTAATATTTGTAAAAGAAATATAAATGCTAAATTTTATTTCAATATATATTATGAAGAAATATGAAAATCTGTGATGTAATATCTCTATATCTAGTCTTCAATTCTCAATATGGTTTGATCCTTTGGAAAAATAAAAACTTAGATTCTTATAACATCTGTAATTTATCCAATTAATAAAAAATTAATAAAAAATTGAATGTCAATGTACAATGCTTAAATCTCCAAAGGATTGATCTATTTGCAATTAATTACTAATCTATCCTCATATGCACGCGATCACAGTGCATCATTCAGCACGAAATATTCATGCTTTTTGTTTCTTCTTTTTACACTTTTTCAGAGATTTTATCATCAAATGTCACAGCAGGAATCCCAGTGCTTCCATGGTGGACAGGTAAATTTGGCACGATTATCGTTTATACAATTAAGACAAAAAAAAGAAAAAAGAAAAGATTATATGTGATTAACGCAAAAGTTAACATTTTTTTTCAATCTGTTTTTTCTTTTCTTTTTTTTTCAATTTTATTTCCATCGAATGAATCGTCCTCTTTTAATCCTTTAACTGTATCACGATTAGAATAAAATTATCATTAGAGGCACTTCCAATGTTATTTTCTATGGTCTAATTTTACATGAAAATATGAGCTCTGTGATGAAAATATAGAAGAGCCGGATTTCCTTTTAAGAACAGCGTTGGCGATGAACGAAGAATTTATTTTAAATAAGGAATTGAAGTGACGCCAAGTAGGCTGTATAGACTCTCGAGAAGTTAGCAATCCGTAAAATCCAAGAAGAACGCTACTTTGAGATGTAAAATAACGTTGAATTAGCTTAAGTAGAAGTTGAATGTCTATGGTAAAATCGTGAATGGCAAATTAGAAGAACATTGAAAAATATTAGTCTAGATGACAAAATCATCAATCTTGGAAAAATCAGAAAAATGAAAAATTTAAAAATATTGAGATATTTATAGAAAAAGGAAGAAAAATTAAGCTTTTAAAAGTTATTATCTCATTTACTGGAAAGGATGTGAAATAACTATATTAAAAAAAAACTTAAAAAATATATTATTTATAGAAAAAATGGCAGAAACATTCTTCAATTAGTAATAAAAAGTACATTATGTACAGTAATTATGAAATTCTTCCTATATTTAATCACAATATTTATTATATTAAATAAATTTACAATAATATAATTCAATTTTCATAAAAATTAAAATTGAATAAGATTACATTACACTTAATAATCATAAATTTATTCAAAATTTATTCGTTTATGTTTACAATATCATTTTAAAATTGCAAAATTAAAAAAATCCATTTCAAAAATAATATCAACAGTCTCTTTATATCTGCTGGTTAAAGGATTAATCGAGTCACATACGTGCTTCTCGCTTCGTTCCTCCATTCAATACCAAAATATCTTACAAAAAGTTTTGCAGAAGATTCTTAAAGCGTTTTTCTTGTTGGTGGCACAGGACAGAGAAAGAGAGAGCGCAAACCCCACCGTTTAATCCGGATTCGAAGGACTGTGGAATCCTGAGCTGCAGGCCGGCTTTTATACAAAGATTCGCTGGAATAAAGGTTTGTAAAAGTCGGTGTGTGCTTCCTTAGATCTTCTTCTTGCTTCAGATCTGACGTATACTTGTATTGCGATTTATCTAAACGATTCAGTCGAAATTGACAATTGGCTTATAGAATTATCTACAATCTTGTTCATGAATCTCTTGCTAATTTTAAATATAAGTTTATTAAGCTTATTAGTGGTTAATATTAATTTGTAAATTCGTTTTGTTTGTAATATAATACACAATGTTTTTTTTTTATTAAGGATTTTCTTTTTTCTTATAAAGTTTAGAAAAAATAAAAGTTCTTAGAATAGATCTATAATAAACCATATAGAGTTATAATTTCTTAATTCAAAATTCATTTGGACTATTTATCATTTTAATAATACTATTTATTATGATTCCAAAACTTGAATTAATCTATTTAGATTAATTCATATATTTGTTGCAATGAAAATAAAAAATGAAATATGAAATATGATAAATTTTTAAAATAAAAATTTAATGAAATAATATTACATGAATGAAAGTAGATTCATATTAAAATTATTAAAATATAATATTTTCTTATTTTATAGACATATAATTGGTATAATCAATATAAATATATAATCATTATGTTCAATATTCTGAAACATGTGTTCACTGACTTGGATCCGTGTATATTACACGGATGTACAAATCTGGTATCGTGAGTCATCATTTTGAAAGGATATGACATTGAAACGATGCTGACATTCCGTGAAAGGTTCTAATTGTAAGTCGTCGCAAGGGAACATAACGTGGAGATATCAGACAATTTGATATTGATTTCATCATTTAGTTCTTCTTCTGGTATAATCATATGATTTGTTGTTATTAAAAAATGAGATTAAATTTTATTAAATTTCTGATTCTTATGGAGAAATTTTTAAAGCCTTCTAGATAGATTGAATATTTTTGAATATTCTCTGAAATTTTTAAAGTTCATGGAAATTTACACAAAAGTGAAGTAATTTGGAATGAAAGCACTTTATACGATGTATCGAGAATCTGTTCACTTTTGATTTATCAAATATGGCACGTTGATTATCAGCAAAACGTTTTATCCAGTTCCCATCATCGTTAATGCAGCGTTTTACCTTCGTTAGTTAAAATGCACTCAAGGGTACAATGGTGGAATCGATAAAGTTTCTGCTTATCTAATCGGGCTTTATCGTTCGATTTGACATAAAGGATGTATCAAAGAATCGATAATATCAGGAACACGTATCTCTCAATTTAACATGATAAAAAATCCTTTTGTTTTGCCTCAACGGAGGAAAAAAATTATTTCTGTTAAAGTACACGAACACAGAAAATTCTTTGTCAAATCGAAATTTTTATCTCGTAAAATATCGTTTCATTTACATATAAAATAAATATTGTTACGATAAAACAGAAAATTATTTTCCATTTTTTAGTTTCAATTGTGATTTTACTAAAATAACAATATCAATATCAATTTATCCAATATTATATTTGTTTAATATAGAGAATATTCTTCGATAACATGTACCATACATTATTAAATAATTCTATATCATATTTGCTATTTTCAAACATGGTCAAACAATATGAAAAACACATTTTCATAGTATCAAATATTCATAAGATATTCCAGCAAATATATACTTAAGTTTCAACTTAGTGAAACACTAAAAAAGGAGAAACTTGTATAATATTAAAGGTATATGGCGGAATATATTCAAATTTGTCATCATTGTATTTTTAATTCACATGTGTGCATAAATAGGTAGAACATGGTACCAAATTTTGTAATGGATATTACACGAATTGCTTCACTTCTCAGAATGATTGAACATATGAAAGAAAACACAATCAAATTTCCATTTATAATCCACTACTCATTAACACTCGTTAACGAATTTACCTTTTGTTATCCCATGATTTTTCCAGGTGTTTGTGTTCCTTCTATCGTTTCTTGTCACATTGCAACAAGCACTTAGTTCAGGTTACATAAATTCTGTGATCACGACCATAGAGAAAAGGTTCGAAATCCCGTCCAGCCTTTCAGGCGTCATTGCTAGCTCCTATGAAATTGGAAATGTCATCACTGTCATCTTCGTCAGCTATCTTGGTAGCCGAAGACATATACCTGTTTGGATAGCGATTGGTAAGTGAATGGAAAATATATTTGATCTTATTGTTAAAAACAGAATATTGTAATTGTCTATATTATAATAATATATTGTATTATATTAGGGAATATTATAATATTACAATAAGTTATCTGAAATTAATTTAATTTTTAATTATATTGTTATGATATAATTAATATATATGGTATAATATTGTAAGATTGACAGAGATATTATTTATTGTTTCCCCTTCTTTTTACTTATTATTAACGTTATTGTTTCAGGCGCTGTCATAATGGGATTGGGATCGATGATCTTTATGGTGCCACACTTCACAGCCGAGCCCAATTTAATGACGGCTGTGAATAACTCTAGCTCAGACAACATTTGTCGTGGAATTTCGTTACGCAAACAAGACATGGACTTGGGTAAATATTAATGAATTGTGAAACGAGAAATGCATGCAAAAGATTATAGATTCTATCAAATTCTGCAATATTTCACAACAAAGTTTTCAAGAAATAAAATTTTATAGAAGAATATAAAATATATTTATTTTTTCATAATTCTTTTTCATAGCATCAGCTACCAGCTTTATATTTAAATAAATATAATAGAAAAAAAGTGAATTTTCTATAGAATTCTTTTCGATTTCATATATTTTTAAAAGAATGAAATTATGATAAAATAGTTAAAGATATATTCAATATTGATTATAAAATATTTTATTGCTTCATTATCCAATTTTAAGAGAGGAAGATTGTTTGGTAAAGAAAACGAAAATGTTCTTTCTTTATAGGTCGCCTTTCATCTGGATTATCATCACCACCTTTAGCACCACACAACAATTTAAGAGGTGATAATTGCATTCAAGGATCTCCATCTACTGCTGGTCCTGTTATGTTATTTGTACTTGCTCAGTTACTATTAGGCTGTGGTGGTTCTCCTTTATTTACTCTTGGTACTACATATATAGATGATCATGTACGACCAGAAAGTGCTTCTTTGTATATTGGTAAGAATTTGCGATTTTAAAATATTTAAAATTCACGTCATTAAAGACAATTTATTAAATAATTTCATTTATTTTTTCTAGGTTGCATGTATAGTATGGCAGCTTTTGGACCAGTTTTAGGTTTTCTTCTTGGAGCTTATCTATTATCATTTCATATGGATTCATTTTCTGGAACAATTATCAGTATAGGTGATTCAATAAATTCAATAAGATTTTGTTTTATTAAAAATTATAAAGTACTATTTATAAAATAAAATAAATTTTTCTCTAGATCCAGGTGATCACAGATGGGTAGGCATGTGGTGGGGTGGGTTTTTACTCTGTGGCTTACTCCTAATTTTAGTGGCAATTCCTTTCTTCAGTTTTCCAAAAACTTTACAACGAGAGAAAGAAAAAATACGTATCATTGAAAAAAATAAATCATCATCGCAGAAAGAGAAAGAGCAATGCAAAGAACCAAAAAAAGAAAAACTTGATGATAGTGGTTATGGAAAAGATGTGAAAGGTGATGAATATGAATATAATATATTTTAATTTAAAATATCTGAACTTTAAATTAAGTTTAAATATAATTTTCATTTTCAGATATTCCTAGGAGTATGTGGAGACTGGTATGTAATCCAGTATATGTAGTGACGTGTTTAGGAGCTTGCATGGAATTAGTGATTGTTTCTGGATTCGTGGTTTTCTTGCCAAAATATTTGGAGACACAGTTCAGCCTAGGAAAGAGTCAAGCTAGTGTATTCACCGGCTCTATAGCGATACCAGGTGCCTGCATTGGAATCTTTTTTGGCGGATGTTTGCTCAAACGTTTAGAATTAAGACCGAAAGGTGCGGTTCAGTTCGTTCTTGTCTCGAACATGATATGCCTGGTGTGCTATGGTCTCCTTTTTTTCCTCGGTTGTGACAATGTAAAAATGGCTGGGACCACTATACCATATTTTAACAGCAGTACAAAGGGTCCTGAACCCTTTCAAGTAAATCTCACTGCCGCATGTAATTTCGGTTGCGAATGCCGAATGACAGATGTGGAACCAGTCTGTGGAAACAACGGTCTCACATATTTTAGTCCTTGTCATGCAGGTTGCACTGCCTTCAGTTCTAAATCAAATTTCACTAATTGTGCATGTAAGTGTACAATTATACAATATAAACAATATAATAACATAAATTAAGTATATTGTTTAGCAATATATATGAATTAGATGATTATATTGTTGGTAATATTAGATACATTTATGTTTTAGGTATACACGGAAATTTAACAACGATACCTCCAGTAGCACCAGAATTTGCAGAGGTAACGGTAGTACCAGTAGCTACTGCGGGTCCGTGCACTTCGCCATGTAGGACTATATTTCCATTTTTAATTTTACTTTTTTTTATGACATTTATTGTTGCCATCACTCAAATGCCTCTATTAATGATAGTATTACGGTAAGTTTTATTTTTATTTTCTCTATATATTATTATTTTAAATTATACATTATTACATTTTAATTTTTATTTTGAATATATACACATATAGATCAGTCTCAGAAGAGGAAAGATCGTTTGCTTTAGGCATGCAATTTGTAATCTTTCGACTATTCGGTTATATACCTGCTCCTATTTTATTTGGTAATTTAATTGACTCTACATGCTTACTTTGGAAAAGCACTTGTGGAGAAAAAGGTGGAAGATGTTTACTTTATGACATTGAACAATTTAGATACAGGTACAACTCTAATATCGATGCACAATTTCGAATAATTAAATTTTAGGAATGATATTAAGCAAGAAAGTATTTTCGTTGACCAAAATATATTTCAGATATGTTGGACTTTGCGCTGGCATTAAGATTTTAGCTTTGGCATTGTTCCTTATTGACTGGTGGTTAGTTAGAAGGAGAAGACAAATGGAAGACCATGCACCATCTCTTACTGTCAACGAATTTGTAGGGTCAATTATCAGCCTTGATAAACGTAAGTTCAGAAATATATACAATTGATATTTAAATAAAAAATCAAGAGGATAAAGAAAGAATATACTTATGTGATTTCTTTTCAAAAACATCGTGAGATATCATTTAATATTCATTCGTTAAACTATTGTCTTAATATTATATAATCATTGAATTTACAAATATGTGCTTTCACATTTTAGTATTCGAAGAAAAACCTCATAATCATAATGTAGGAGAAGGAGATGGCACTTCTCCAAATTCTGAATTGCCCACGCCATCGTCAATTTCGTCGCCCACAGAGCCTACGAAATCGACGAACTTAGAAGATACTGGCTCATCGAATCAGACTCAAGATTCGACAGAGACAGGACATCGTTCGAAAAATGCAATGGACGTCGATGTTCCCGATACAAGGCAAGCGCCTCTTGCTATGGAAGAACCGGATACGGAAGTGAAACCGTTCACCGGTAAATCAGATAAGCATATACGGAACGTTTAATGTTTAACTCATACTAGAGGCTATGTAATTGAATTATATCAAAAAGGTGATAATGTAAGTCTGTGGCAAATTGTTTTGAAGTCACAGGTAATTCAATATACATAGAGAAAGAGATATAATATGTACAATGTACGTGCATTATTGATTTGTGCAATCCTAAAAAAAAAAAGTTAGTGAGGGAAAATGTTATGAATGGCTTTAAATAAAAGAAAGAAGGTAATCTGTATACATATATATATATATGGTGCTAATATACTTTTTTAAAAAAATCGAGAGACAAAGAATTATCTTATATCGTTCCGTATATCGTCGGGTATAAAATTTAAATTGTGTTGAAGATATAAGTAAATTTTACACAGATACATAACATACATTTGCACACATTATATATTCTTACATACAGGCGAGTCAAAAATATTTTTACAATGGTTATATTTGCGTGAAGAATATCGTTTATGATACGAAATAATTTGCCACAGGTTTGTCTCGATTGTTTGGCTATTTTTTAGGAACTAATATCACTAGAATGTACATTTTTATGGTGATGCGATATATATGTCAATAATAGGAATGTAATAGGTGAAAAAAAATATTTAGACTCGTTTCAGACAGACATCTTGTAACTTGATTTCAAAGATTTTCTTTGTCTGAAACGAGATTTTTTTGCCATTAGGAAACGAGCCTTGCGTGGTTAAAAAGAAAGGAAAAAAAGGAAGAAAGGCCAATAAGGACAAAACTGTAAATATAAAAATTCCTGCCTTAAGAAATACAAGACTAGACAAACGTATATTTAAAGATAATTAAATGATAGAGTTAATGATCTATAATGAATAATATCATTATAATTGCAGATTGAGAGCTGCGATTTATTTTATAACTAGTGATTAGGCTTTCTCAGAAATAAAAAAAAAAAAGTAGTCAATTTAACTTAGTGATGTAAAGAAAAATAACAAATGGATTAAGAATCCATAGCGTTGATTTGTTTATAAAATTATTTTAACATTTTGCAATAGTTTTATTCCTTTCTTTTTCTTTTTTGCAAAAAAAAAAAAATACTCTCTTATGCAAAAAAAAATCACGCTTTTAACAAGGCGGCACCTTGATCTCTGATGTTTTTTCTTCTAAATATTATTATATCGATAATGCAATATTTTAAGAGCTTTCAAAAACAATCTTAGCATTAATTTAAAAAGAAAAAGAAAAATAAAAAAGAAGACGCATTTGTGCGATTTTTTTCATTATAACGTGTGCGTTACTTCTTATCATATTCTATAGAATGAATTATATAAAATGAATTATGCTTCCAAGCAATGAAAGAAAAATAAAAAAACTTATAAATTTTTGATTAATGAATATTAATGAAATAAAATGGTTGGTCAATTGGGATTAATTATATAACATTGAAATATGTCTTGAACAAGTTTTGGCTTATTAAATACAGTTTGCTCACTTGTTGTTAGGAAGAAGTCTACTTGTTTTGTACCTGAAAGCATCTCTTACCCAATTTCGATATAACAAAAGAAAAAAAAAGAGATAAGTGCAAAAAAACAAAAAGAAAGAAAGAAGTATATAAAACTTACTCAGGAAAAGAAATTTTATAGAGTGTTAAAGGCACTTTTGACACAATCGAAAAAAGCTATAAATAATAATGAATATCTCTCAGTGCAAAATTAACGAAATTTTAGCCTAAGAAATTAAAAAAAAAAAAAAAAAAGAGAAGGATATAAAATTACTCATCTCAAGCTCAATTTCTTTTAAAAAATAATGATACAAGAGAAAAGAAAAAATTAATTAAGAAAATTTTACGGAAAAACATTTTAATAAATAACAATATTATTATAGGGACAACAATGTCGTTTGCACGAATCTATCATTTAAAACTGTCTTTCCCTTCGCTTCGGGTACGAAACCGTTTTATATATACTTCTATAAAATACTTCTATAAAATTCAAATTAAAAATGAAAACAAAAGATATAATGTTAATTTTACACAATCTCAGAAAAAAATAAAATAAAAAAATATCAATAGTATTATGGTGACATCATCATTTACTTACGTTAATGCAACATACTTATCTATGTATCTCGCACGCTGTTTGGCCCGTCACTGTCAATTTTTCAAAGTGTAGTTACACATTACCCCTATACATATATACATACACACATATGTTATATTTTAGAGGCAATTTTGATGTTTGTGAACCGTTTGAACCATTCGGTGAATTCGATCGTTCGAAATGTTCTTGAGGCCGTGATGATCTCTCTCCTAACTAACGATTAATTATTACGAAGCATTTACGTATTAACTATACCTACTTTGTGATATAAATCTTTGTATCGAACGATGGTGTTTGTCGAATGGATTTCTTGTATACATGAGAAATACAAAACAAAAAGGAAAAAAGTGCTGTGAATAGAAAGAAATAAAAAAGATGAATAAAAAAAAGAAGGAACAGAAGAAAAATATAGAGACAAAAAGGTTAGAAAAAAGAACAAGTTACACAGGTAAAATCAAATTCAATTCAATTTACATGTTCATCGAGAATGATAAATAAGAATTTGTTAACAGGAAGAAATTAATGATTGCATCCACCAAAATAACTACAATTGTATATAGAGAATTATAATAGTTAAAACGATTTATAATGAGCAATTGAGGAAAAAGAAAACTACATGATTATGTGTATTATAATTATATATATATATAAATATATACGATTTAATAGAATTTTATGGTGATCGCTATCGATGCGATAATGTTCTGTTTCTAATCAAATGCGACGTTTTGTACCATTTGTGGCAAAAATATTTAAGAAAGAAACGAACAATTGAGCGCGTGACCCGCACAATTTTTCCATCGTGTTACTTAAATATTTTTACAAAAGCCTTTCTCGCATATTATATTTATGACGAATCTTGTATTCTTAGATTTTTTCTTTTTTGTTTTCTTTTGATTGATTGTTTAACTCCTTGCCTTTTTATTCTTTCGAACACTATATATTAAAGTTTAGTCATAATTAACATATCATTTCTTTAAAGAATTCTTCAAAAAAACTAACATTAGAAATATTAAATCTGTTTTGATTACTAGATTCTTATAAAAAATATGCAAGTTTCAAAAAAATTAATGTTTGTATTTGAATTATAATTTTTATACAATGTAATTTATTTTCACTATATTGATTTTATATTTTTTATTTTTTTAAGATATCAAAATATTTTAAATTTAAAATATATTATGTTAGAATAAAGAGAGATCAACTATTTCTTGAAAATCATATAATTTATTCAAAAATTAAACAAAAGATTACTTATGACTAGACTGCAGATATATATGCAGATTTACATTTTTATGAACATAGTTAAAGTGATGATAAATGAAATTTAATTAATGATTTATATTATTTTATAAATTTACATTTAATAACATTTGTTTATAAATATTACAATAATTTTGAAAATTTTAGATATTTTTGCATGTTATATTCTATATATTTTTGACAACATTATATACTTATTTATGATTTTAACCTTAAACACTAATTATTTTATAATAACTTTAATTACTTTATTTTCTTTACTTTAACATGCACTTTCAGTAATATTCAAATATAGAATAATACTAAAATGTTTTAAAAAATGTAATTACATTAACATAACCTATATTATATCTATCTTGTTTCAGATTTTTTTTCAACATTATTATAGAATCTTATATTCAAAAATTAATACTATATTTATAATCAAATATAATTTGGAATTAAATTAAATTAAATATATAAATATAAAATTAAGATTTAAATTAAATATAAGTTCAATGTAATTCGATATTATAAGGCAAGGAGTTGAAGATTAATTTCGATATTTTTATTATGAATCCGATTTATCATCTCAGAAATTATTTCCCGTTATATTATACTGTTGTCGTTATTATTATTAGTATTATTATTATCGTCATAATAATCATTGCGCTTTTTATTATCTATTACTAATATATTCATCGTTAATTAGTTTATAGTGTATGTTTATTTTGTAACAGATGTTTCTTTTAATCGATTAATTGGTACTATTATATTTACTGTATGTAACACATTCCCAAGCTATATATTTTATTAGAAGGAAAATTAAACAAGTAAATAATGAGAGAGAGAGAAAAATAGAAGTCATAGAGGATGGAAGTGTGAATTTTAAGTATTAAGTAGGAAGTTCTAACGCTAGCGATCAAGAATTAAATTAAAAAAAAAAGAATGTTGTGTATATAGATATTAAATCTATTATAACGATTAATATAAACTGCTTATAGATGTAATGTATTTTTTGTAGGGACCATAATGTATAAGCAGAACAATACGAAGATGTTTCTTGTATTTTTATCATTTTTTTTTTCTCTTTTTCTTTACTTTTCTTTCTTTAAATGATTGTTGAATGGTGATACGCGAATGTGAGTCGAGTTATTTAAGATTTGTAAAAATTAAAAGAGAAAAAGAGAAAAAAGTAATATACATTTGCTTGAAAAAGGAAAGAACGAAGGAGGATCTTTGTGAATTATATTATGGTTTCAAAAATTAAATATAATTATAAAAATTCATGAAGAATATATAAAATATAATGGTATATCTATGTGATTTCGAATTACAATCGAATCTCGACAGCTCGAATTTCAAGGCTAGAACTAATATTCAAATTATAAAGATTTCTGATTAAAATTGATAAAAATTTTATGTGCAGAAACATTGTACAAGAATTAATATTTTTCCAATTGTAAAGAAAGAAGAATTTGTAAGTATTGTTTTTTATTTTCAATTATTTGAAACAATTGTCGATTACTGATATAATAAATGATATATAATTATTTTAGGTTGTAGGAGATACCGCTGATAAAAGTTTGAGTTACAAACATAAATTAACTATTTACAGGAATTCTTCAGTATCAAATAAATAGAAAATAATTCAACCAATAAAAAAATAAAGTTCTCGAGTTATAAAGATTCGACTGTATTTCAAGATAATGTTAATCAAGAATGAGTTTAAATCCGCTCAGTGGATGAATAAAATTGTAAAGCTCACAAAAAAGATTTTGTTGAATGTTATATGATGTTTTTATGGTGAAAAGAATCTTTTCTGAGAGCTTTTTTGATGACGAATGGGAAAGAGAAAGTGCTATAGTATGTTTGAATTAATCGGCTGTTGAAGGCTATTAAAAAAAAAAAATTATGTAATTTGTTTATTACATTATTTTTTTTATGCTCTATATTTTTTTCCTCTTGTAATTTATTTTAATAATATAAAACAACATTTTTATATTTCATAATATTCATGAATAATTTTATGCATTCTTCAAACTTTTCAAAAATAAATTTATAAAATTGTTATAATATTATTTGCAGGAAAATATGCAATCATACTTTTTTATATGTTTTTTAATATTTAATAACATGTTATTAAATAAAAAAAATATTTTTTAAATCAAAATCACTAATGATAAAAGAGAAAAATTGATAGTATATTATGATATTAAAAAAACGGTCTTGAGCAGCCAATTGATCTCAATTAAACTATATTCAGAAACAGAGTACCAGAAATTATGAAAGAAAGTAGCAAAAAAAATTATATATCCACAACTGTGAAAAAAATGGTCTCGATGTAGTAAAAATATTTAATTGATACAGCATGTGACTTTTAAAAGCATTTTAGTCCGATTTCAACAGTTTGTATTTGTTAATGCCATATCAATTCATAGAACATATACATATGTACATTATATACGTGCACACAAATACTCACGTTACTTTGTTATTATTATTATATTAATATACATCACACACGAAAAAAATTGCTTAATTTAACCGCGCAATAAGCAAAATTATTTAATCCATATATTCGGCCATCTTAAAGAAATAAAAAAGAAATATGGCAAAAACCACCATTTTGATATGCTAATCATAATGGAAAAAATGATTTCAATATGGTCCCGGTTTCATTATTGCGAAAACAGTGTTAAAACACTTGAAATAATATTGCCTTAAAAAAAGAAAGATTAAAAAAAAATAATAACAAGTAATTCATAAGGAACGCTCTAATAATGGTACAAGTGGTAAAAGGTAATCAATGAATGATGAAGAATGATCGTAATTTGCAGAGACAGAGATATATATATATATATAAAATAAATAAATATATATATAAAATAATATTAGATATATAAGAAAAATCTCGTATTGTCAAAAATGATTTATCGTTTCCTCGAATATTATATATAAATATATATATATATATATAATAAATATATATTTATATATATATATATAAAATTTTAAATCCCTTATGATACATATAGAGAAGAATATATCGTGCGTGCGCGGTTGAAAAACACTGTTTTTTCTTAAAATGAACCTTCTGTTTTCATATCAATCACAGAATCTCTTCCTTAGATATGGAACAAATATCTATAAATCATGAATATATAGAATTCGAATAATTTCGTTTTACGTTTCACTAGAAGATGAAAAGACACCGATAATAAATGAAAAATTAATTATCAGAAATCGTCTTTTTCTCCAATTGTCGAAACGTAACATTTTTTTTCTTCTCTCAGAAGTAAGGCACAAACAATGTATTTACAATGAATAAATGTTTTGAAAACTGTTAAAATAATACTTATTTATTTTTTCAAGTATGAAATTTTTTAATATATTTTTAAATTGTTTTACATTGTATCTTCATTTTGTGTCAATATATTATTTATTCTATTCTTTTATTTCATTTTTAAATATCAAATACTTACATAATTCAATAGAAATTTATTTTTAAAATTATAAATCAATATTATTTCATAAGAATATTCAGAGCTATTTTATCTAATGACATATTAATCTTGCAAAAAATAGTATGCAATTATCAGTAAAACATGACATTTTAATTAATAAATAATATTTTTTTATAATTAGATTTCTATTTATTAAAAGATTATATATATAAAATTAGTATAATTTGTTTAATATTCAATCAAAAAATGATATTAATTTTATCTAATCAATAACAATTATTAAATTTCAGATGCACGAGTCGATAAAAAAGAAAACAAAATCAAGATAATCTTTCATACCATTGTTAGGCGATAAATTAGCAAATGTATGATATAGCAAACATTTGAATGTAGCGCCATAGAATCAGCCAACCAATCGCGTGGTAGGACTGCTGAGGCCACCTTGCGGCCTTCTTCCGCCATTTCCGTCAGTTGTCCACAAGCTTTTCTAGCGTGCGGACGTACGTGAGTATTCGGCGTGTTCTGTCACCTACGGAGTCGCGTTTTCGCTAACGAACGCCCCACCGTACTTTCCATATTCAATGTGTATGGCGATTCAGGTGAGTGTTCAAAGAGCACAGTTATTCCGAATGAAATCTCGATACGATTTCATGGATTGTGTTTCGCGTGTACGCGTCCAGTGACTTCGTAATGGCAAAAAGTCGATCGTTGCATTTACGGCCGTCGTATACGCGCGCGTGTGTCCCTCGTTTGGTTGCGTACTTCCCTTCGTGTATGCTATATATTCGCGTTACGTGTGATGCTCCGTTTACGTGTGAATGTGCGCGCGCCTATATATACATGCACAATTCCCGAACCTATTCATGTCTTACACGCATTGCATACGCGTGTGTGCGCGGACGACGAACTCTGGCGTCCCATCGAAAGCCACCGCCGTCATCGTAGTCTGTCTGCTTGGCTGCCTACTCATGTCCCTTCGTTTCGAAATAATCTGTTCGTGAGAGCATTGGGTATGCGTGAAAAAAATGTGTCTTTTTACGACTCATTTTAATCCGATTCCCTCTAAGAAGCTACTCCGCCGTAATGTTTAACGGCATCGAATCATGAATTCTTAGAGTAATTTCGGAGGATACGGCATGCCATGCACCGAAAGATTTTAACTACGATAAAGTAGATCTGCATTCTTTCTCTTATACTAGTTTCTGCGTTCTTTGTAAATATGTTCAATTGGCAAAGTCCGAGTGACAGACGGTCGAGGTCGGCGGTGAGAGCGGCCAGAGGCACGCTCGAATGACACGCGGATTGCACGCCAGGGGCACGCGTGTT